GTTAGGTTATTATAGCTTTGTGCAGCCCCAAGGGTTTGTAACGCCGCGAAATATTGGTCTTAGACCCACCTTCAAGTATACCGACCGCCATATCTCGACTAGCTGAGTCGAACTGGACATGTGTGTTCGTCCTTCCGTCCGTCTGTCCGTTAGAATTTGTAAACACTATGCAGGCCACAGTTACACAACAATCTTCACGAAATTTTGCATGTAGAATGGGTTCTGGGCAATGAAGACCCCTATTGTTTTTAGTAAAGATCGCTTAATATTTAGGGGATGAAATGGACCAAATACTAAATTTTTGACGGTTTTTCTGGTCGCTCCAGAGGCCGCAATAATGGCTTGAACATCGTGAAATTTTGCACGGAGTAGGGGGTTAGGCCATAGAATGAGCATGCCTGTTTTGATAAAGATCGGTCAATATTTAGCAGGTCAAATGGACCCTGACTTTTGTGTGAAAAATTACAAAATTTGTATTCTATGGCGAATATATTTACTCCCGAAGGACATAGACCCGAGAAGTTGATAGTATAGCCAAGAGAAGTGGTTGACCTTTAAATTGACACCAATTACATTGTCGTAGATACGCGGATGTGGGAGTTACACTTAAATATTTACAGGTGCTTACGTATTCAGATATTATGTAGTAACCCATTAAGCGTGTGCAAATATCGGGAAATATTGCCCAATCTCAGAATATAGAATCACAGAAAATTAGATAGTTGTGTATGGTATCATATGTTCGGCCCCGTCCGACTATACTGCTCCGCTCACTGATTTTATATTTTATTTTGTTTTATTTATTTATTTAGTTATTTATTTTTGTACTTCCGAACAAAGTTTCATATTTCCTTATTTTCTATAAATATTTAAATTATTTAAAACATTACAAACATTATTTTCAACAGATACAAAAAAATGTCACAATGTTGTTATATATTTATATATATATATATATATATTTTTTTTTTTTTTGTTTGCAATTCAATCGTCCCTTATTCTCTTCCTTTTATTTGTTTGGTTGTTGGTATAGATTGAGTTCTACCTTAGATATTGCATATGTTGATGGCGTATAGACAAAACCAAGGCATACTTTTAGGATCAAAAGCATATTTTTGTGTTTTATGTATTGTGTGCGATTGTCCGTGTTCTGCTGCATATGCAAATATTTAGATATGCTGTCATCTTTGTCAAATCAAAAATTGTTAAGTATTAGGAAATTGAATAGACAGTGGGACCAGTATTAAAATTACCACAAACATAGGAGAAAAAAAATATTTAATTTCCTTAAAGATCGCTCTGAGATTTTCGGCAAATAAAATTACTTCTACATACCTTTACTGGAGGATCTTTCAGATTTAATTTACTCTCTGAGCTGTTGTAAAGATCCACCATTCTGTCTAGGTTCCACTGTTGTTTTATCTCTATCTCTCTCTTTCACTTTGTCAACATCAAGTTTTCACATTCATCTTTCGATTTTGATGAGTTTTGATTTTATGCCATAAATTATTGAAATCATTTGGGAAATATATGTTTGTGATGACAAAGCATTGACTGTCTGACTGACTTCTCTGCCAAGAAGGACATATGGCACAGAGGTAAGGAAATGATGTAGGCATGCATATGCATACTTTCGATTAAAATATTTGAAGAAAAAAGATTTTCAATGGGCTGACATATGCATAGCATTGCGGATATGCAGTTTTCAAAATATGTTTTAATTATATGGAAATTATTGGGAAAATATCTCTAAAGTGTACCAGAAGTTTCTGGAAATCCACCTGGCAGTAGAGGAATAAAATCGGGAATATATGCCAACGAATTAATATTTGTCTTTTTTTGTAGAATCGAAATTTCCATTTATATAACATTTTAAAACTTGTATCAGTAGTTCATAAAAAGACAAAACGTAAAAGTTGATGAAGAATATTGTTTCCATTAGCTTCACTCCCCGAAAAAAGAGTTCAGAGGGTCAAATTGTCCTAACAACGATAGTGTGTGAAAATAACCATAAAACCCAGTGAGCGGAGCAATATAGTCGGACGGGGCCGGCCATACGATACCCTACACAACTACCACGGCACTCAAATTTTCTGCGGATGTTTATTCCGAGCCTGGGCAATATTTCGTGATATTTGCACCCTCTTGCCCAATCACACTGACATATTTTCCGAATATTACGAGTATTCAGTACAGCTATTGTCCAGATTCCCTTCACCATGGGTTGTGTTGTGATGTTCGGCTTTCATTTGTGGTCTATAGCTCGACTCGAAAATAACACAAAAAATTAAGTTTTCGGTCCACTTCATTCCAAAATTATCTGATCTGATCATCACCGAAAATTATAGGCGTTGCCCTTGACCATAACTGCAACCTCATGGAACATTTCAATGCGATCAGCGCTATAGTTCTGCTCTCTAGAGTGATAATGGCTTACTAAATAATATACGAATAAGGAGATACCAGTAAATATTTAGGTGTAACTCCCACATCCGAGCACATACAACAATATAATTGGTATTCATTTAAAGGTCAACCACTCCTCTTGGATATACTATCAACTCCTCGCGCCTATGTCCTTCAGGAGTAAATATATACGCTATAGAATACAAATTTTGTAATTTTTCACACAAAAGTCAGGGTTCATTTGACCCTCTAAATATTGACCGATATTTATGAAAACAAGCGTGCTTATTCTTTGACCCGATCCCCTTCTCCATGGAAAATTTCACGATGTTCGGGCCATTATTGCGGCCTCTGGAGCGACCAGAAAAACCGACAAAAAAAAAAATTTAGTATTTGGTCCATTTCATCCTCAAAATATTAACCGATTTTTCCCAAAAACAATATGGGTCTTCATTGGGCCAGAACCCATCCTACATGCAAAATTTCGTGAAAATTGGTCCATAACCTACAGTGAAATTTGATCAAGAATATTTATTCTTTTGACTTCACCCCCTGAAAAAAAGAGTTCAGTGGGTTAAATTTTCCCAAAAGAAAAGGGTGTAAAAATAGTCGCAAAAATAGATTTAATTTTTTTAGTTCATTTGGCACCAGATATTTTCTTAAATATAATATTCCTACAGATTTTTGATGTTCGGTGACCTATAGTGAAATATGATGAAGAATAATTTTTCCCTTTACATCACACACCTAAAGTGAAAACTTGTGGCTGAGATGCCACCAGTTTGAATATAAGCTAAATTTTAAGATTTCATGAAATGGCCGAAATGTAGGTCCATATTTTATTAACATATATCATTTATACCAACTTCTTGTATTCGGCAACATATAGTAAAATTTCATGAAGAATAATTTTCCCCTTAACGCCAACCTCCGAAAATGACAAATTGTGGGTCAAATGATACTAATTCAAACATAACCTAAAATTGATGATTTCGTCAGATCTGTCTCTTCTTTCCTTCCTTTGCCTTCATATTTCCAATTAGTTCCCATAATTTTCATTGAACCAAAATCTTCACAATTCCTTATACCATTTTTTTTTCTTCTTCATCAAGACTGTGTTATAATAACTTTGGCACTTGGCTTTGTACGTGCCTCATCATATACCACAGATGGGTGTGTGATTGTGATTTCTATTTCACCTCCAGGCATCTTCAATAAGCCTGTAATGTTGATTGCATTTGAACACATATTGTTGTACAACAAAAAACAGCTACAACAACAACAAAATGGCAAAGTTCAATTTTTGCTGAATAAGTTGATTTGTTGGTATTGTTCGGTCACAAGACACATAAAAAACGTGGGGCGAGAGGAGAACCTGAACACAAAAAAATTATTACCAGCTGTATTTAGATCTTAGAATTGGGTGATTGTGGAGAAACCCATTACATTCACTTTGATCTGGTTAAAAAATACTTTCACAGTACATTTTTGTTTTACGGTTTATGGATAATTAATGAGCGGGTTCTAAATGTTTTTATTTGAAAAAAATTAGCTTTTTTGGAAAAGAAGAAATATTTTAAAGTTCCACCTCTTCCTTTCAATGATCTAATGGCTTTACCAATGTTTTTTGTTGAGTCATTGGGGTTTGCTTGAGGTTTTGGCATTTCATAAAAATTAGAAGGTTTTTTCTTTCGAATATTTGTTGGTTCTAACATGGGAGCAAGGGTAAAAGTATGCTGAGAATTCCCTAAAATGAATCAACAGTTTTGTTTGATTCTATTTTTCATTGCTTTGCCTTGGGCGTGATTAGCAAAGAAACTAGGGCGATTCGTTTAAAGTTTCACAGATCAATCGAATGTTCTTAGAGAGATGATGGTGGAAGGCTACTTTAAGCAGAGAAATATTGAAGTCATTACTTTTAATAAACAAAACAATTCAACATTAGTTTAAAAATGGCGCCCAAACAGGACTAATATTTTTTCTTAAATAATTTCATGGCCAAATTGATATTAATTTATTTCTGCTATATATTACACCTACCGATTTCATTTATTTGGCGACCTATAGTAGAATTTTCTAGAGAATATTTTTTGCCTTGATATCATCCCGCTAAAATCATGCATTGCGGAACTGATGGTCATTTTTGGCACCCATGATGGACTACGAAATAACGTCCATAAATAATTTTCTTGATAATACAACCATCACCCCCCAAAAATGGGTTTTTCTTGTTCAGTTTTAGCAACAATCGAAATAACCTCAGAAATCAATTTAAAACCACAAACTAATTTAAAATATATTTTTTTTATTTCTTTGCAGATCAAAGTGTGTAATTAAAAAAACAACAACAAAGAAGTCCTAGAGAAAATACACAATCATTTCGAGCAAAAAACCGGAAACTTAAGCGCTCTAAAATATACAACCAAAACAAGTAAAATAAAAACAATTACAAACCCAAAAACAACAAACAACCAAAAAATTGGCTACCGCAATTAATCGTTTGTGTGTGTGTGTGTAGTTAACACAATTTAAAGAAACGTTACCGCCACCGCCAACCAGCAAAAATCCAGCAGCACTGACGAACATTTCTTTAAACGTGTCTCTACAACAGCCCCAAAATCACTCCCCCCCAGACAAACGTGTACGAAAAAGCCATCACCATTTCGTCGATTGCGATTAAACGCAGGCCAACGCTGCCGCAAACGCCAGCGAGTGCCCCACAGGTGTTGTCACCCAAACGACAGTGTGCCGCCGCGGTTTCGGTAATACCAGCCAATAGCGCCGTCGGTAATCCAGTCGTTGCTGCTGCCGCCGCCGCCCAATTAGCACCCCAATTGCAATACGCCACTGCACCAGCCACCGCTGCCGTTGCCCTGAAAGCCAATCACCATCACCAGTTGGCCTATAATACAGCTGCCGCTGCACAATTGGCCGCAACAGCTGCCATTAACGCTCACACCCATTCACATCACACCGCCCAACAGCAAGTGGCTGCTGCAGCAGCTGCGGCCGCTGCCCAACATCAACGTAATATAAACGCTGCCGTTGCTGCCCATCAGCATATACAGAATTCAGCTGCTGCTGCGGCCCTCTTGAATCATCATCAACAGCAGTTTGGTCAGGGAGCTGCCGCACATTCGTTGTCAACACAGCATCAGCAGCAACAACAACAACAACAGGTCGCTGCAGCTGCCGCGGCTGCAGCTGCTGCTGCACATCAGCAACATTTTGTATTGCAACATCAACATCAGCAAAGTATTTATCAGCAGCATCAACAACAACAGCAGCAACAACAACAATTGAGACACTACAACAATCATCATCAACACAATCATCACAACAGTAGCAACAACAACAACACAAACAGCAGCAGTAATCATCATCAACAACAACAACTGATTGCGGTGACAACACCTAACAACACCAACAGCAACACAAACCAACAACACCAAACCGTTACCAGCTCTACCAACACCTCCTCAGCTTGTACATCACCCAATAGCAACAACAGCAGCAACAACAACTTAGTCTATACCTCGGCAGCAAATACAGCATTAACCGTTAATACTTCATTACATTCCAACGACTCCAATACATCGGCATCTTCATCGAGCACCACCACACCCACACCAACAGCCGTAGCAACGGCCGCTGCCACTTCATTGGCCGGTGAGAATACGACAACTTCGTCGACAACAACAGTGAACGCTAACACAACCACCAACACCACTACAACAGCAGCAGCAGCAGGAACAACAACAATGGAAAATCAAATGGCATTGGCACCATTAGGATTATCACAAAGCATGGATTCCGTAAATACAGCAAGCAATGAAGAAGAGGTAAGTGGAATATAAGACTAATATTAAGGGCCTAAAAGTAGGCAATAATGTGTTTTTTTGCTGCGGTTAGCCAAAAAGTAGGCTACATAAAAAAATACAAATTATAATTTCAATTCCTCAAAGGAAATATATTCTACAACCCGCACATTAAATGGGTAGTGTCACAATTTTTGTAATAGAATGTATGGATTTGGTAAGCCTAAAAGTATGCAATGGTTTATCCTAAGCCAAAAAGTAGACTTTACTTAAAGAAATATTTTTAAATTTTTCTAAGGGAATTCTGTGACCAGTGACCACTTTTTATTGCTAGATATTATACCTACGGATTTCTTTTATACGGAGACCTATAATAAAATTTTATATAGAAGATTTTTTCCATTGACACTACCACCTTAAAGTTTGAAATAATAGGTCAAATGGTACTAATTTGAAAAATAACAAAAAAACTCCAATTTCGATAAATGCTTTTCAAAATCTTAAATTTTGATCTATATTTTCTTGATATGCGTTATATATAGCGCTTAATTTAGCTTAGAGACCTATAGTGAAATTTTATGAGGAACAAATCTTTCCTTCACATCACCCCCCCTAAGATGAAGTATTAATGGTGGGATAATAATTCCATTTAAAAGATATCCAATTCAGTTGCAAAATTGACCAATATGTCTTATAATTATTTTAAGGTCCCAAAAGTAGGCAATAATTTTTTTCTGCAGTATGCCAAAAAGTAGGCCATATAAATTACTAATAAATTTCTCAATCCGCCAAACGCCTAAAATTAAGTATTAACGGTCTATTCAACCCCTTATCATACAGAATTATAATTTTAGTTGTGGAAAAATAATATTATTTAAAAAAAATCCTCAATTCAGTTGGAAATTTGACCGGTATGTTTTATAATTATTTTTAACGTCCTAAAAGTAGGCACTGTTTTTCTTTTTGGGGTAAGCCAAAAAGTATGCTATATAAAGTACAAATTCTTAATCCGCTAAAAAAATATATTCTGCAAATCGCACATAAGATGGGAAAGAGTCAAAATTCCTGTAATCGAATGTATATATTTGTTATGCCTAAAAGTATGCATTGGTGTTATCCTAAACCAATAAATTAGATTGTTAAATAAAAAATATTTTTTTAATTCTTTCTAAGGGAATTCCACTGGAATTCTATTTGCTATGAGGTCCTTAGAAAACTGAATAACAACAACATTAACACTCGAAATTTAATTTTTAAGCCTAAAAGTATGCAATGGTTTTATCCTAAACCAAAAATGTAGGCTTTTAAATAAAAAAATATATTTTTAATTTTTACTAAGGGATTTGTATTGCTTTGTATTTGCAACTAGGACCTAATCAGGTTCCTAACCTGATTACCAGCAACTTGAACTCTTAAAAGTGCTCTATTCTCCTCGAATTAACCGATTTAGCTACCAATTTTTATATGTTCCTGAATTTTTCTAAGTCGCCTTAAATGAATTCCACTGCCTTCCATTTTTTTAAAGATACCCTTAGTGACGTGTACAAACATGACCTCTGTAACTTGTCCCACTTTCTTAGTTGTTACAACCTTGCACGAATTGCCCCAGTTGGACACTGGCATATCCTGTTTTGTTTAAAATCTTCCTACATTTTTCGAAGCCACTTTAAAGGAACTCCACTGCCTTTTATTTTTTAACAAGGCCTCAAATGACCTGATGCTCAAAAAACTTGACATTTCCAAGTCCTACTCTCCTAGCTGTTGCAAACTTACCCCAATTAGCGACTGGCATTAACCTCAACTCAACTTTAAACGGAAGTTTTCATTGATTTTCTTTATTTCCTAAGCGTATCCCACTCCTCCCCCCCATCCAACTCCATCACATCCTTTAAAAATTCATCCAACCTAACCACCGACCAATTAATTCCACCAATCTTGGAATTTATAACAAATTTTGTTCCGGTAAATTCAACATCTTCAGTTTGTAAAACTTCTTCTTATGCCGGTTATTAATGGGGGGGTTGGAAATCCTTCCTATTATCCTTTTACTTTGATTTCAAGTTCATTTGACCATAAAATCTATCGGCTTGGGTACAAATAAATTATTTCCGTTCATTGTCGAACAAATTTAGAAGTTTGTTGTTTTGCGGAACTTTTAAAGAATTTGTGGGGGGATTCCTTCGAGGGAGTTTTAAAAAAATTTTTGGATTAAAATAAAGGAGAGAGGGGGTGAACTTTAATAGTGGTTCTGAAATGTGACTTAGAGGAGGAATTCCCAAATTAATATTGGTTTCACTATCGGGGAAATTTAAGGAAAATAATAAGAAATTGAAATCGAATTTGAAATAGTTTTATCATCGTTAAAGAAAAATACAAAAACAATCTTACACAATTGAAAAGTTTGAGAGCATACTTTTAGGTGTTGAAAGCCGGTTTTCGATGCACAATGTGGTCTGTTTGGGATGAAATATGGGATTGAAATATTTAATAATTGCATTTTTCTTTGCCTTAATTTTTTGCTATACAAAACAAAAACAAATTCGAAATGTAAGGCATACTTTTAGGTATTGAAAGGACTACAGGAAGCCATTAAATATACTCTGTGTTTTTGATGTATACTTTTTCAAATATCTATTTCGACATTGTTTATTAAAAGTTAATTTTTTTAAGTTTTAAAGTATACTTTTAGGAGCTTCTTAATTTAGTAGCATACTTTTCGGGAACCAATATCGAATTTGTTCATTATTTATTTTTAAATTAACAACCATGTGACAAGAAACACTTTTAACATAATTCCCGTTTTTGTTGATATTTTCATAAAAAATAAAACCCTCCCAACATTCCTAACAGCCACTTGGGAATTGCGATGACAAACAGTTTAGTTTAATATGCATGCGTTCCATGCGCACACACTCTTCTGAAGCAACGGATGTTGATAAAGCTTTTAAAAACGTAACGTCTGTTTCCTTTTCAAGAAAAAAAGCACCAATCCCAAAAGTATGCTTTAAATTTTATTTCACCCAAATAACAACATATCTTGTCTGTAACATTTATAAGTTTTACCGTCTTCAAGAAAAAAACAACAACTTTTATATTTACATTTAACACCAGAAGAAGATTTCCCCGTTGCTCTCCCTAAAAGTATGCTTGATAATTTAGTTTTGAAACCACACCACATTTCCCAGCCACATACACCAGGGTAAATATGTTCACTAACGATGAACTACACACAGACTCCTACAATTGGTGACAGCCCCCAATTCCACTGCTGTTCCTCCACCGCCTCCTACAGCTGGTATTCCCCTCCATCATCATTCTCTGCACAAGTCATGTTTTATTTAGTTTGTCACCTTTTATTGCTATGGGATTTCTTTTGTAATAGTTATGGGAAATCTATCTTAAGGCAAGAACCACAAACGTTTTATGCTGCTGGTACTGCTGCTAAGGCCATGTGTTCTTTGCAAAAAAAAAAAAATATTTCAACAGCAAGTGATGTATAAAAAATGAATAAATTTTCAAGACAAGGCCTGACTCTATTCGAAATATCCAAAGCAACAAAAAAGTAAACGAATTCAATATTTCACAACTATGTAAAATAAGAAAACATGTCAAAGTGCTAACCTACTGGTGCCACTACTATTATTGAATATCAAATGGGTCTGGGGACTGCAGCAGTGGGACATCAAAATGAAGTTGTGTTAAATGGATTCCAGTTTTTATTTTTTGCAAAAAAGGAAATAAAGTTTTACTCACCACAACAACAAAAAATTCTATGAATTGATAATTGTATTTATAACAATTTCCTAAAAAAGTATACAAAGGATAGTAAAAAATTCTTTGCCTAGAAGTATGCTTTAGATTGCTGATATTTAACTAGATGGAGCTGGAACTGATTTTTGGGGTGCTAACAAATAATGAATTAGACAATCAGTTGAATTGAGGGAAATCCCAGATACAAGGACTAAATGTTCAAAATATTAATTAAATTGTTAGCATACTTTTAGGGGTTCAATTATTAAATAACGTCACTTGTATAAATATTAGATCAATGCAATTTTCGAATACCAAATGAGAACAGAGCGCAAAATAATTTACTAAAAAATCCAAAAAAATACTGTTAGGCATTTATTGAAATATTTAAGAATTAAAGCCTATTTTAAGGAGCTCTAAAAGTATTTTCCAAAGTTGTTTTTTTTTGTAACTGAAATAAAATTTTCCTCAATTAATATATAAAATATCAAGCTTCTAGTGGTAGCATTTTTAATATTTCTTAAACCAACATTTTTCTATACCTCCTCCTGGAGGAAAATCTCAAGAGCTCTCAAATTATTTTATTTAATTATTTTTTTGCAAGGGAAATACAATTTTCCTCAATCCCACGTATGGATAATTGTATTTATATAAAATTAAAAAAAGTATGCAAACCTGCTGAAGGTAAAATACAATGCCTAAAAGTATGCTTTAGTTAATTAATTATACAAAAAAATGTAATTGAGACAAATTCCAAGAACAAGGACTTCACATATCAATTTTGATTAAATTTCTAGCATACTTTTAGGGTTATAATAACTATATTAAATACTAAGCTTATGGTGTTAACATTTTTAATATTTAATGTAAATATTCACGCAAAAAATTTGGCTAAGATGTTTTCCACTATTTTTCAGTTTAAAAAAATATTAGTGGGGAATGTATGGCATTGTCCGCCGAGGGGTAAGGCAGGGAAGACTATAGTTTCGGATCTCGCCACTGATCCTCATCAGTTCCCTTAGTTTTTTGTTGGGATATTCTCCCCAGAAGCTATTAATAGCTTCTTTACAAAAAAACCTTTCAAACCCAAATGTCTCTTGTGACAATTCGAAGTTCTTACGTTACCAGCGATAAGACCTCAATGAGAAGTTCGTTTCGTTGGCGCCTGACTTCGTGGTCAACAAGGCATTTACAGACAACTACATTACATTTCCCACTGCTATGTGTGGTCACTTTGTGACGAATGCACATAACGTTGTTGTTGGTATTGCTAG